TATCTATCTATCTATCTATCTATCTATCTATCTATCTATCTATCTATATACATACATATAATTTTTTCCCTCCAACTACCCTAATACTGACAAAGGTCTCATGAGTTACAAATATCATCTTTCCATGCAGGAATGTAAACAGTTCAACCTTAAGAAATCTCTTATGATTTCTCTTTCCTGTTTACCTCTTTATGTTTCACTTGAGTCTTGTATTTGAAAGTCAAATTTTCTATTCAGCTCTGGTCTTTTCATCAAGAATGCTTGAAAGTCCCCTATTTCACTGAATGACCATTTTTTCCCCTGAAGGATTATACTCAGTTTTGCTGGGTAGGTGATTCTTGGTTGTAATCCTATCTCCTTTGCCCTCCTGAATATTATATTCCATGCCCTGTGGTCCCTTAATGTAAAAACTGCTAAATCTTGTGTTACCCTGATTGTGGTAAACATTGGGAATAACAATATTGTGCTCCCTAACTCACAGAGGATTATGGTTAAGGAATGGTCTTTGCAAACATTAAAGTGACAGGAAATTGCTATCATAACCATCAGCGTCACCATCACCACCAACATTACCATCAAAACAGTGATAACAAATCACCAAAGAGAAGATAGTTCGTTTCTTGTGCATCTTCACAGTTTTGTCTTTGTGAAGGTGTTCAGGCCTCGGACGAGGGGTACATGGTCTGTGAATCATGGGAATCAGCACAGACAGCGCAGTGTGAAAAGCCCAGCTCTGCCATCAGGAGAGTCACTTACTAGGTACGTGGTCTGGGGCAACTCATTTAATTTCTCTAATCCTCAATTTTCCCATCAATAAAATGGAGAGAATTATACTTCTCTTCCAAGGCTGCTGTAGGGAAAGTGCTTTGTAAACCTTAATGTTGCCACAGAAATAGGAGTTAGTATTGTGGGGAGTAGGGGATGCTTAGAAGATCAGACCCTGGTTCTCTAGACTTAATGCCCATTACTACCACTTACCTGCATAGCCAGGGGCACAGAGACATAGGATTCGTTCACTCCCACCATCCGCTTGACATGAGGTCCCATGGTAATTACCAGAGCCCAAGAACCCAGGGCAGGGACAAGGCCGGCACTGCTGTCCAGAGCCCAGGACAGGGTCTCCATAATAACCATCCTGGCACCTGTGGGGGTAGTGTGGTGCTAATAACCAGGCTGGGTACCACCTACCTCCACCACCCCATAATTGACCAGCAAGCCCTGAAGGTTTCCTAGGGAGGAGCCATATCTCCTTTTTTAGATAGGACTTTAAGAGGAGGCTTCACTCACCTTTCACAATGACGCCCGGTGGTGGCATCTCCACAGGCCTGGCACACACCTGTGTGTGGGTGGCACTGCTCTGCATGCCCATTACACTCACAGGGCTGGCACCGAGGGAAGCCCCACTGGCCAGGCAGGCACTGGTCACACCTTCGTCCTGTGACGCCTGGCTGGCATGGGCACTGTCCACTTAAAGGATCACAGGCCAAACTGGTGGATCCCTCAGGGGAGCAACGACACTCTAGGGGAAGCAGTAAGGGGTCAGGCTGGGTGGGGGGAGGGGGACGGTCTGTCCCAACCTCATCTCTATGCCACCCAGTGCTTAGCCCAATGTCTGTCTCAGTCCTCACCACTGCAGCCTGCCGGGCCAAAGCCATATGTCCGGGGCTCACACCGGTCACAGCGCTGGCCAATGACGTGGGGTCGACATGGGCACTGGCCACCCACACGGGCACACTCGGAGCTCAGAGAGCCCTGTGGGTCACACTCGCAGGCTAGAGGTGGGAGAGCAATGTCTGGGTGAGGCAGGCTGAACTCAGCCCCAGGTGCCTGACCCCCAAACACCCTTAGGACTCAGCCCTCATAAGAGACACTTCCATTCACTCCCCCAGCCACCTTTTCATTCCCCTGTGTCCACAGCCATTCTTTGGTCACGCCCCCAACCCTCTGATTTCTCTTACCCTATCCCCCTACGTACATAACCACTTTCAGAGTCAGATCCTCCTTTTATCCTGAACCTTCTAGGCAGTACCCAGTCAATTTCTGGGTAACCCCAAGACAGGGAGGTGGCTCAGTGGACAGAGGGCTGGACTTGGAATCAGGAAGACCTGACTTCAAATCCCGTTCCAGACACTTCCTAGCTGTGTAATCCTGGGTGAGTCATTCAACCTCCCTCTCTGCCTCAGTTTCCTCATCTAAAAATGAGGCTAAAACTAGAACCAAATGAAACAGCACATGTCAAGTGCTTTGTAAAAGATAAACCACAATATAAAGGCTAAGTATTATTATCAACATCATCACCTCCCCCAGGCATTCCTTAGCTACTCTTTCACACTTCCTTTATTGACTCCACTGCTACTTCTCCAGTCCCATGAGTCACCCTGGTCCTGATCACCCCTCTACCCAACATTCCCTAGTCCCAGCCACTCAGGGTCACTCACCCAGGCCACCACCATAGAGAAGGGCAGAGATGCTACAGATCAAGCGGGCACAAGACTCTGATGGTGGCCCTAGGGGGAGTGTTCTTGCAGCTTCAAGGCACTGGCCACGACTGAGTTCTCTCAGGTGCCCCGATGCCCCAGGGTCCCCCCTTCTTAGGCCTGGAAGTTCTTCTACTTGAGGCAGAAGCACCAGCTGTGGAGAAAGGGGAATCATTAGGGACAGGCAAGTCTGTGGGGAATGGCCCAGAATCTGGTATTCCAGATTCAGGCGGGGGGGCCTCTCTGAGAAAGACAAAAAGACTGGGAGACTTCAGGTGGGTCACAGGAAATCTGAGAATCCCAAGGGACTTTGGAAGGTATATTAGCCCTCAGCATTCCTATTTCTTTTCTTGACTCATCCACTCCCATGGTTTCTATTCTCCCTTCTATGCCGATGATTCCCAGATCTCTAACTTCAGACCTGGACTCTACATTCCAGCCATACTGTACCAATCACTCTTCCTCAATTTAATCCTCCCTTCTTGCCTCCATGAATTCACACATTCCTAGAACATCTGCCCTCCTCATTCTGGCTCTTTCTTCTCTGAATCTCCAGTCTAGGGACGTTAGCCTCAACTGGGGCACTTCATTAATGCCTTCAATTTAACCCAATTCTGTTAGATTATTTTATCTGGATCTTGTTTTTGTCTGTTTTACACTCTCCTTTGCATGATATTCATGTGTGCGTATGCTGAATCTCCCCAGTACACTATACTTTCCTTGAAGCAAGAAAAGTGTCTCTTCTTAATTCTTGTATCCCAAGTGCCAAGCAGAAAGCCTTGCATGCAGCAGGCGCTTGGTAAACTAAGAATTAAACTGAATCTCCACCTGGATGTATCCTTGACCTTATTTGTTCAAAAGTGAACTGATCGTCTTCCACCCCAAACCTGATCCTGCTCCCAGCCTCCCTTTTTCAGTTGAGGTGCTGGCACCACCATTCTCCTCATGATCTAGGCTCAAAACCTTAGAATCACTGCTGACTCATCATCCTCCATCATCCCCACACCCAATCAGTTTTTACTAAGTCTTGTCCTTTAGGTACTTTTCACTGGCAGCCCATCTTCCTCGTGGCTCAAGGGCTCTCTGTCTCTTCCTTTAGGGGAGTTCAGAAACGTCATTCCAGTACAGAAATAGACAAGCCAATCTCTTCTGGCTCCCCAGTCCTGCCACTGCTCTGTGGGGAATAAAGGCTGGATGTAGGATTTAGAACACAGCCCAGCTTTCTGCCAGGAAGGCCCAGCTAAAAAGCTCAGCCCTAACTCTCACTGAGTCCTCTCCTTTGGCACACTCTCCGCTCATTCCCCATCCACAGACTCGTTTTTCCTATTCCACATCCACACACAAACCAGGGGCTCCCCAAGACTCCATCATGCCCAACAGACTGACTCCTTCTCACTGCAACTCTCCACTTCGGCCCAATTAGACTACAAGCAAGCTTATTCTAGGTGTGCACACCTCCCTTCCCCACCTCCAGGGTCTGGTTTCTCCCATCCACTCCTCAGACACCAACGATGAGTATTTCTCAGTGTTCCTTCAGCAGGCCTGGGGTGATTGGCAAAAGGCAGACATCTCTCTGTGCACCTCTTATGCTGCAGAGGCAGGTACCTGCCTATAGCCACCAGTCATTCCCCAGGCCTGAACACTGCCTCAACATCCATGGAAGCCTTCCCCCTAGTCCAGGCCCTCACTGCCTCTCTGGACAATCGCCACATCCTCCTAAGCAGTCATCCCACCTCTTATTTATCCATCTTCAGATTCATCCTTTACACAGTCAGCAAGATAAATGCCCTGTGGCACACGTCTGCCAAGTTACTGATCAAGAATGGCTCATGGCTTAGTCTCCCGGGTTAGTCCAAACTCCATGGCCTGGGACTCAAAGCTCTCACACTATCTCTCTCTCTCTCCCTTGCCCCATTCTAAGCTTATGTCTGCCTCTGTTCTTCTTCTTCTTTTTTTTTTAAGGCAATTGGGGATAAGTGATTTGCCCTCAGGTCCTCCTGACTACCGGGCTGGTGCTCTATCCACTGCACCACCTAGCTGCCCTGCCTCTCTTCTTAATCCTCTGCCCAGAATGCCACCCTCTTCTCTCCAAATCCTAGCTGTCCTTTAAGGCCCAAATGAGAGGCATATAACAGCTAGATGGCTCAGTGGATACAGCACTGGGCCAGAGGCCAAGAAGACCTGAGTTCAAATCCAGCCTTAGACACTCACTAGCTATGTGACTTTGGGCAAGTCACTTAACCTTGTTTACCTTAATCTTCTGGAGGAGGAAATGACAAACCACTCCACTATCTTTGCCAAGAAAACCCCATGGACAGTACTGACATGCTATGGTCCACGGGCTTACAAACAGTGGGGCACAACTGAACAACAGACAGCAACAGTGAGAGTCAGAGGACCTGAATGAAATCCCAGTTCTGCCACTAAACACCTGTGTCACTTTGGTCAAGTAAGCCCACCTCACTGGGACTCAGTTTCCTCATAAGTAAAATGAGAGTGTTGGTCCAGACGACCTTGGGGGTCCCTTCTAGCCCTTGATCTGTGAGCCAATGCCTAAGATAGGTCCTTGCTTTGTGCCCCTGCTCACCCAGGCCTTCCCTCCCACAGGCCCCTTCATTCAGTCTCCCGTCTATCCCCAGACCTTCCGAAACAATGACCTCCCTGAGGGCAGGGCCCAGGATTCCTCTTTCTCAAGCTCTCTAACTGTGCTGAGCCCAACCCTGGGAACAGGGAGGCTCAGCGAAGGCTTGGGGAGTGAAGAGATGTGCTGGGGACCCTAACGTGTTAGGAGGCAGGGGGCCCAAAAGCCTCACTGAGTCTAGCAGGATGGTTCCCCCCGCTGGGCTCCGTGTACTTGTCACACGCTGCAGTCTCAAGGTCACCATGTATCTGGTTTCAGGTTCAAAGCAGAAGGGTCTAGACAGAACCACAGCTCTGGAGGGAAAGAGCGCATTGATGCAAGATTGGTGTCTGTGTTCACCCCGCCCCCTTCAGTTATCTGATACCTGGTATCTTTGCACCCCCCCCCTAATTTTCCAGATTCTACCTTGACTGAATTCATACCTGTGCCTGGAGGGTAGGACCACCTGATAGAGCTGCTCTGAGGGCAACACATTGGCACAACGGGTGCTGCTGGGCAGGGAGTTGGCTCGGACACTGACAAGGGCCTCCCAGTCCTCAGGGGCCTGGAAGTGTCAAAGGGTCAAGGGTGAAAGAGCTTCCTTCACCACCCCACCCCCAGCTCCTCCATAACCCCATAATCTCAGGGCCTAACCTGAGCTTCATAACGCAGCACGATGTCATATTCCATGGCTCGTGGCACTGGAGGGGCCTGGAACATGAGGCCAGCCCTGTCCTCCACCCTGGAAAACCCAGGGCCTGTCCAGGAGGAGGTCTGAGGGCCCTGGCTCCAAGGCCGTGGCTCCACAGCAGCCTAGGGATGAGACAGAAATAATACTGTGAGGTCTCAAGGGGGAAATCTGGCTCTGAGTCTTCTTGGGAGCTCCCTGAAGGCAGAGCGCAAGTCTGTTCTTTTTCTGCTACCCTGGAAAGCATCCTCAACACTCCCCATCCCCCCAACCTCCTTTCATCCCCAGGGCTTTCCCACTGACCCTTCACCTTCGATGGTTGGTAGCTGTGGCGTCCACGGCGAGTAACCTGACTAGGGCAGGGTGTGCTACGCTGACGCCAGAGCCGGGGTCTGAGCCTCTTCAACACAGGTCCTGTGGTTGGCAGGCAGTTGGGGGGGACATCAGGTAGAGGGGCTCCCTGAAGGACAGCAGGACTAAAGGTCCATGTCTCCTCCTACTTAGATACTCACTGCCAGAGTCCCCTCTATCTCCTTTGGTTAACTACTACTCCAAAATACCAATCCCACCTCAATTCTCCCTGGCCTTCAGCTCAGAGACTCAGAAAATCTCTAAAGCTAGTGGGGCCTCCCAAGGGCATCTGGTACAATTTGTCCATCCTGACAAGTGGTCATCCAGCCTTCCTTTGAAGACTTTCTGTGGTGAGAAGCTCACAGTCTTCCAAGGCAACTTATTCTATTTAAGTTTCTCCTCCAGAAAGCCCTCCCTGATTGCTCCGGTCTTCAGCCATCCCTCCCTCCTCTGAGTGCCAACTTGTGGAGCTCACATACTCACAGGTAGCCGGGGGTCAGAGGGCTTGAGCCTCTGCCCAAGCTCTGCCTCAGCTACAGCCTGGTCCAGGGCTGCACAGAAGTAACCAGACTGGACCTCAAGGCAGTCTCGGCCTTGTAGGTGGGGGCGACAAGGACAAAGCCCCTCCCCTGATGAGCACCTGGTGACACAGGTAGTATAGGGGGATAAGGTTAATCCTCCATTTTTGGCCCTGGTACTGCCTGGAATCCCCCCTTCCTCTAGCTTCCAGGCTCTTGACCAAGCCCCCACCTGTTGCTGTAGGCTCCACCAAAATCACAGTCACAAGGCCGGCAGCCAGTGAAGTCACTGCTCAGGCCCCAGAATTCTGGCTGCAGGGAGAGAGGAAGGAGAAGAATCATAAATTACACGACCCATATTCCTGAAGGAGTTAAAAGCTTACAAAGAACTTTCCTCATAACATTCCCTCCAGGTATGGCTATAATCATCCCCATTTTACAGACAAGGCCACTGGGGCTCAGGGAAGGTAAATGATTTGCATGAGGACACACAGCTGATGCTAGACCTAGCTCTCTTGTCTCTAAACCCCAAGATCTGACACCGTATAAGACATGCTGCCTCCTCTCTGGGAGCCATGGAGCAAGGTCTGCAATCTCAGCTAGGTGGCCAGAGATCAGCAGTTACAGTGCCAGGGAGTGACAGAGGTTGATATTTTAGAAAAATTTTGTGAAGTTTTCTGTCTAACTTTGATTTAAAAAAAAAGTCTATCTCCATTCAGAGCTGTAACTAGGGTAAGGCATCCAGAGCTTTTCCCACGGTGCGGACATGGCAGGGAGCATATTTTTACCCTGTGGCAGTCAAGAGATCACCATCCCTGCCACCACCACCTGCATGCCACTGCTGTGGTACTCCTTCTTACCTGTCCCCATGGGGGCACCAGCCCACTTACAAGTTTCTCCAGAAATCTAGTCCCTCTGGAAGAGGCAGTAAAACACAATGGGACTGAAGGACTATAGGAACTAGTATGGGCAAATTTTAAACACGATCTCAAGCTGACAGTCACAAAACTGTTGTGAGAAATGCTACCGGTTCTTTGAGAGAATAAGGACTGATGATCAGGTAGAATCCCCTATGGGCACTGTTTGTGCTAGGCTGAAGAAAGAGGACCCCGAGGCAAAAGGAGAAGCACAGAGGCCTTCTAGAGAAATAAACCAGGTCTTTTAATCAGTCCTCCAATTGGTCAGTCTCTGTCTGCAACTGAGATAATCAGAGGGACTTGGCTCCTCAAGGCCCATGAATGACCTCCTAGGACCGGCCAATATCAATTGGCCCCTTGATGGGAGGAGCCTTAGAAATGACCTTGAACAAGCCCCTGGTTTACCCATGGAGAATCAAAGTTCCAGGTTCTTTCTCAATCAGGTGCGTAAGTCATGGAATAACACTCCACAGTTTGTATTCAGAGTGAGTTTAAGAAGAACAGCATGCAGCATTAGCATTCTTTGGGAGGGAGGGGATGTGGGTTCAAATCTTGGATCTCCTCATGTGACCTTGGCCAAGTTATGCAATTTCTCTGAGCTTCAGTTTCCTCATCTCTAAAACGAGGTGGGGTGTGACTCAGTGATCTCTAAATCCCTTCTGGCTCAGTGAGAGTCTCAGGATCTCCTAATCAGGCCTAAATTAATCCAGTAAGAGCTGATTAGCAATAATGGTATTGAATGGTACCTTATATTTCATTTCCTTGAAATACTTGCTCTATCATCCTTCAACTTAGTGAACAGTGATATTTAAATTCAATTTTCCAATAAAAGAATTACATTGAAAGTATTTTTAAAATAATAATTGGGAAAACAAACTAATCTAGAAGCAGTGTAGCTTAGTAGAAAAAGCACTAGATTTGGAAGCAAAAGATCTGGTTTGTAATCGTGTTTCTCCCACAAACTACCCATGTGATTTTGGGCAGTCTCTTTTCTGAGAGTGCTTCCTATTCTGTACAATAATAATTCACATGAAGGCATCCTGCTGCCATTTAGGCAGGCAAGGGATCTTGAGGGGGAAATAAAAGCTTATTTAGAACCTTAAAAACCATCAACCTAAAAGGACCCTCAGAGCACAGAACAAAGTATTTCAGATCTGGAAGGGATCTAAGAATGGAAAACATCACTTATCAGTGCTGGAAGGAGCCTTAGAACACAGAACACAGAATGTCAGAGGGCCCGTGGGGATTGCTGGGTACAACCTTCTCCTTTTTATAGATGGAAAAGCTGAGACCTGGAGGCAGACCAATATAAAGTCACACAGCAGAGGAGCTTCATCTGTGTTGAATTTGCTAGAATAAACTAAAGTTACTACAAAAGTAAATGGAACAAGGGCCAAAGATGTTGAGTGAGGGTAAAGACTCAAGGGTTTGAGGGTCTTGGGGATAAGGATTAGGGCTCAGAGTTCAGTGGTGAAGGTCAAAGTGGGGGTTCTAGGTTGGAGACTAAGTTTCAGTATCCAGAGTCAGGCAGGAAGAAGAGAGTCTGAGGTCAAGGTAAGAGCTCACCAGGCATTGGTCACAGTTCTGGCCAGTAACAAAACGTTTGCAATAGCAGTCACCACTGATGGAGTCACAGGGGGTGTCACCTGGGACTGTGCCCCGAGGATCACACCTGCAGGCTAGGGGAGCAAAGACAGTGTCAAAATGTGACGGAAAGGATGGCCCGGGGAGAAACTGAGGAGAGAAGGGGCAGACATAGTCACAGAGGCTGATCTTCAGGCTCAGAGAACTGGGCTCAAATCACAGTGTCCTGGGCTAAGAGTCAGAGTCTTGAGCTGGGGGTCAGAGAGCTCCCAGGGCTAAGGGGTCATTTGCACAGACAGCCTTTAAGTGGTATCCAGCTACTCAAAGTGACTAGGTATACAAGTCTGGGGACTCTAGGAGTCAGGGGATTATGGGGTCCTGAGGTCAAGAGTCATGAAACCCTGGATTTGGGGGCCACTTCACACAGGATCCCTTGGATCCAACTGGACTCAGGCCATAGAGACTGAGTGTCTTTTATTGGTAGTTCTTGGGGTCATGGGGTCCTGAGGTGGGTCAAGGGGTTCAAGAAATATAGATTCATGAGGCTGGGGCTTCCTAAATTCTGGGTCACATTCTGGAGCTCTCAGGTTAAGGGGTCACAAGACAGGCTTTGGGCTATATGAGGTTCAGGCTCTAGCAATCAGGTATCCTGAGTTGAGGGGCTTGGAATCCGAGGTCTAGAGAGTCTGGGGTCACTCACACAAACAACCTTCAGGTAATGCTGGGCTCAGACCATAGTAACCAGGACGACAGGTATCACAGCGTGGGCCCCACACGTGGGCTTTGCAGCGACACTGTCCAGAGAGGAGCCCCCGGACCTCATCTGTGTGTGTGTCACAGAGACCCCCATTCAGGGTGCCTGAAGGGTCACAGTCACAAGCTGGGGACACAAGAACGGAGTTGGAAAAAGGGGTCAAATACCATGTTCAGAAATTATGGGCAAAGTCAGAGATTAGGATTGGGATGGGGTGGCAAATACCAGGGTTCATGGGTTAGGTTCATAGCTGGGGCCAGGGCTCCTCATCAAAGGACTTACGTTTACAGGTATATGGGGAGCGGGGGTCTTCACGGGGGTCCCTGTAGTAGAAGGGTCGGCAGATCTCACAGTGCCTCCCTGCTGTGTGGTGCTGACATGCATCACACACACCTCCACTCACATTGCCTGAGGCCACAAAAACAGCCATGTCAAAGTGGCAACTCCTGGCATGCTGATGGCATTCACACTCTAGGGGAAAAGAGAGGGAAACGGGTGGGTCAGAGATACCCAGGGGATAGCAAGGGCACAAGGATTACAGACGGTAACAAGCAGCACCCACCCTGGCAGGTGTGAGGATTCCCAGGCTCGGCTGGGCCCCAGGGTTGGTCATGGTGCAGGTCCTGGCAGCGCTCACAGTGGAGTCCAGCTGTCCGGTGCTGACACACACAAAGCCCGTGGACCTGCAAACATTGTAAAGCTGATAAGATTGTGGGAACACTGCCTCAAAGAGCCTGAAAGGATTCTGAACTCCATGAAGACCCCGGGCATCCAACCCCCAGAGAGAATCCAGAGACTCAGTCTTCAGGAAGCCCCCCACACCCTAAGGAGATACCCCTCCTTTACCTCTGACCCTCCCTGCCCTCAGAGACTTCCACTCACCATGCCATCCACACTAGGCGGGGCACCAGGAGCAGGTGCACACTCAGAGGCATGTCCATGGCAAAGGCAACTTCCTCGGACCACAAGCTCGTACAAGGCATAGTAGTAGTGAGGCCCATGGTGGTGGCCCCAGACCCCCAGCGGCCCATCTCCCAACGTGTGGAGTTTAGAGAAATTCACTCTCAGGTTGGTAACTCGAAGCAGTTCTGGGGAGAGTGGGGTAGTGATGGTCGGCGGGATGGAGAGATCAGCCTGGACACCCCCTCTCAGTCTCCCTCTGTCTCCCCAGTCTATCTTTCTCCCCAACCTACTCTTCACACGTGTGCCAAAATAATGCAGAGATGTGACTAGGTTACTCCCTTACTCAGAAACCTTCAATGACTCCCCAGTGCCTACAGGATATTTGAGATCATTCATAATCTAAATATAACCTCCGTGACTCAGAGTGCCTTAAGGTTCAGAGATCAGTCTAACGCTGTACAAATATTAGCATTCCTGTTTTATAGCTGGAGAGACAGCACAGTATAGTCAACACAGAAGTGGCCCAAAGCCAAGAGAGCCGAGTTCCAGTTCTGTCTCTGACATCCTGGTTCATACATCCTGGTGGTACAGGCCTGGGCAGGTCACTCAACCCCTCAGGGTTCTGGTTAACTCTCTCAGGCCCTGAAGTCGCAGAGAAGGTTAGGAGAGTGTCTTCAGCTGGGAGCACAGGAGGAGAAAATGGAGGTTCAGAGAGGGCAAACGATGTGTCTCTGGCCACAGGCCTAATGAACAGCAGTGCTAGGACTTAGCCCGTGTCATGTGACTGGAGACCAAGGGTTTTCCTAGCCTTTGCTCCAACAAAGCCCTGCTCCTCACCAGAACATATTAGGTGCAGTCTGGCCTCCCTTCCTTTGTTCTCCCAGCCCATAATGCTCATCCCTGGCTCCTCCTGCTTAGGCCTCACCAAATCACACTGATCGTTCCAGACACAGCTTAATCCCTTTGCTCAACAGTCCAAGACATCTGAGGTGGCACCGCAGTGAGTCAAGTGCCAGGCCTGGAGTCAGGAAGACTCATCTTCCTGAGTTCAAATCCAGCCTCAGACACTTACTAGCTGTGTGACCCTGGGCAAGTCACTTCACCCTGTTTGCCTCAGTTTCCTCATCTGTAATATGAGCTGGAGAAGGACATGGCAAACCATTCCAGTATCTCTGCCAAGAAAACCCCAAATGGGGTCATAAGGAGTTGGACAAAACTGAGAAATGACTGAACAACAAGTAGCCCAGCCCTGTTACCTCCTGCTACACCCAGAGTTGTGTGTTATCTTTCCCTGGGGGATGATGGTATACTGGCAAGGATGCTAGACCAGAGTTGCATTCCCACCTCTGCCACTGATCAGCTCTGGGCTAATTCCCTTTCCCTCTCCGTGCCTCAGTTTCTCCTTGATGGGGTCTGAAGCAGATGGTCTCTAAGGTCCCTTTCAGTTCTACATGCCTAATCTGCCTATAAAGATGCCACCATGTAACTTTATTTAGAAAGTGTTAATAGTTTTCTTAGAAACAATTGCTTAAAATGTTCAGGGAAGGAAAAGTTGAGGCCCCTTCAAGAAATACGCTCTGTTTGCTCTACCACTTCATTAAATGCCTCTGCTTAAGGGAAGAAAAAAGAAAAACTATATACTGTGTCAAAAACATTGTAAGTGCTAATGCCTGGAGGGAAGCGTTGATTGAAGCTGGGCAGCCAGGGAATGATCTGGTTGTCAAGGAAACCTCATCGAGCTATGTGCTCCTCTCAGAGGGGGTCACAGAACCATGAGGGGTGCCCACTGGAGGTCTCAGCTTCTGGGGGGAATGTCCCAGTGGATGAGGGGGAGTTGGGGGGAGTGTCTCAGGGTGAGAGGTTTCTGCAGTCCATGGGCCTGGGCATCTGAAAGGTCACTTACCTTGGATTTCTGGACTATAGGGATCCTCCACAGGGATGGCTGGGTCCAGAACTTTGAAAATTACCTGAGATGGGGGCAGGAAATAGAACCTGAAATTCTGACCACTGAACTAGAGCCCTTGACAACCCCCACCCCCATCCTCAGCCTTCTTCTCTACCAAGGGACTGACCTCACCCTGGCTTGATGGTTCAATGTTCGAGTAACGCTGATCACAAACGAGGTCGCTGACTTTGCGGCCAGGTGTAAGGGGAACCCCAGGGAAGAGGCCAGAGCAGTTGTGAGCAAAGTATCGGTAAACTCGCCAAGATTGACCCCCATCTGCTGAACGCTCAATCAGCAGACCAGCCGGGCGAAAAGTCTAGGGAAAGGTGTGTCAGGGTGCGACGAATCAGTATGGTCAGAGGTCACTAGGGGGTCAGAGGTTAGGAAGTAACTGGACTTAGAAGCATAAGGCCAAGAATCACCATGGTGAGGTCACCTGGAATAGGGTCATTTGTGTTAGTAATAAGAGACAACAGTTACATAGCTCTCACCATGTGCCAGGTACTTGCTTTACAATATCTCATTTGGTCCTCACAACATCCCAGGGAGGTAGGTGCTACTGTTATCCCCATTTTATACATGAGGAAACTGAAGCAGACAGAGGTTAAGTGACTTGCCCAGGGTCACAAAGCTAGTAAGCATCTGAAACAGGATTCAAACTCAGGTTTTTCTGACTGCAGACCCATCATCCTATCCATTGCCCCACCTAGGGGTCAAGGATCACATAAAAAAAAATGCAGTGGCATCTAAAACTGAAGGAGAGGTATGTGTTCAGTACCTTGAAAGTCATGATAAGGTGGGTGAAGTAGAATTCGCCCTCCAAGTCCAGCTGGATACTGACATTCTCCACACCTTGAACCAATAAGGACTGGGTCAGAGCAACCCTTATGCTAATCCCCTGACTCCACCCCATTGGCTCACAAGTCTCCCCCCACCCCACACTCCCCTTCCCCCTCACCACTCTCAGCCTGCCACCATGTTCTTTGCCCATCAGGTCCGCTCAGGGAGATCACATTCTTGATCCTATGGCCTCCCTGGCCCCTTGAGTCACAAAAGAAGCATTTCTCAGAGTCCTAGGCAGAGGAAGGCGGGGATAAGGGTCTCCAAATAGCCTCTCCTCATAAAAGTCCCTATGCTCACTTCCCCTCCTAAGGAAAAGCTCCCCAGGATCTCCTGCAGAAGCTTCTGACCCCACCATCCTCAAAGGTCCCTTAGCAGACTTTGGCCCTCCTCCCTCTAGGAGTCCTGCCTCATTCTCAAAGGCTGCTAATGCAGAATGCTCTGGCCCAATACGCACCTGTAAGTGGCTGACAATGCAGTAGGGCTCAGGCCCCTTCAAACCACAGGTGGACGAGGCGTGGAGACTCTGGCTCCTGCCCACAACTAGATTGCCAGTGGGAGGGTAACAGCTCCCTCCAGAGCAGCCAGGTCGGGGCAGAAGGTCAGGTACTTCATGGGCATAAGCATAGAGTATCTGTACTGAGGACCAGAGGAGAGGCAGGACTCTGAAGAGAAACTTCCAACCCTTCTTTTCAATGACTACCCCTACCAGGGAACCCTCAGCCCCCCATTTCCTGCCTCCTTCCTCCCTGGCCACCCTCTTTACTTA